GTGTGTGTGTTGTGTGTGTGTGTGTGTGTGTGTGTGTGTGTGTGTGTGTGTGTGTGTATGCGTGCAGTAATGTTTCTCCTCGTATAAGGATACTTACTTATATCAGCTTCAGGCTCTCTCTAATGACCTCACTGAAACTTAAATGCATTTTCAAAGGCTGTTTCCAAACAAAGTGACATTTAATATTACTGGGGTTTGATATTTCAACATTTCTTTTTGTTGAATACAATTCAACCTGAAATACAAGGCACTCTGTATCATTATTTTTATAAGACCCTTTGCATCTGAATGTGCTCAGCACCTACTATACACAGTAAATGATGGCTCATGCCAGATCTATAAATTACTTAAAGGTATGAATCTTTGATAACTAAAATGCAAGGGGAATGTAGTCTGTGTTGTCCACGTTCCAGCTCCTATCACCCACACCTCAGTTGCACTAGGGCAGCAGGGCAGGTTGCTGAGAGATGGAATAAAGCACAGGAAGCAATGTGTGCACCATAATGTAAGGAACTAACAAACTTAACACAAGACCAAATGGCCCATCACAGATTGACTAGACAGACTGCGTCTCTCTCCTAGAAAGCTGTGTGGGTCTGACCCCCCTCTCATGGTACCTTACTAGAATACTGTAGGCAGAGTCTCCCCATCTTTCTCTACTCTACCCTCTCCCATCTATCTCTGCTCTCTTCTTTCCCTTCCACCACACATTTCAGCCAAAAGTCCCAACACTATTTACCTCCATGATGCTTCTGAGGTCCAGTGGTGGCCAGCTGGGCTAAGGAGTACTGTCCTCTCCAAAGGCCCCTGTATTGCACCTAATTACTACAGGGAGAGAGATTCTTTAGGTTAGACTACATTAGCAATGCCATCAGTAGCTTCTGGTTCTCTATGCAGGCCTTGTTGGAAGACCCCATCCTAACACCTTTTTCCTTACCTCCTTATCTTGGCAAAAGGCATTTCAGGGACATGGTGCTAAGTGTTCTTCTTCCAGGATCACCTCTGGGTCCTCACAAACCTGTTCAGTTTGCTCTCAGATACCACCCAGGTCTGCTTACTCAAAGTTGGCACAAACATAGTGAACTGGTCCATCCCACACCAATTGTGAGTCAGGAAAATGGCCCCTTGTTTAATGGCCATGCTGATGGAGGCATTCTCTCATTTGAGGTTCTTTTTCCCAGATAAGTCTATCTAGGATCAAGGTGACAAGAACTGACCAGGATGGAAGTTAAAGCAGAAACATGAAGCTGGGAACTGAAGCAGGAATAGTGGAGAACGCTGCTTATTATCTTGCTTCCCATGGCTTGCTCAGGCTGCTTTCTTACACAACCCAGGACTGCCTGCCCAGGGGTGGAACCATCTATCATGGCTGGGATTCCCCACATCAATTATCAATCAAGAAAATACCCAAGTGATGCACCCAGGCCAATCTCATGGAGACAATACCTCAGTTGAGTTTCTCTCTACCACTTTGTGATGATTCTACTTCGTGTCAATGTGACAAAAACTAACAGGCATGGTGTCCGAGCAGAGGAAAGTCTCTAGAGCCATGGCCTCCATTTCTTGGGATGATGGATACAGTCTTACCAGATTCCCTCAAAGAAAGTCTATAACCACACAACAATTTTTTGTCATCTCCACTGCAAAAGACTGTTCATGGGATGTACTTCAGATGATGGATTTTGGAATGTATGATTCAGCTTATTAACACAGTTGATGAAAGCATAATATAAATTACAACACTGTCTAAAGTTCAGAATGTACCATACTTTAGAATTAAGGAATTGGGGAGACTGCTAGGAAATATGAGATCAATTCTGTGACAAGCAAGAAACATGAGGACTAGGCTAATACATGCATCAAAAATTAAAACATGAAGTTAAAATGAGTAAGGTCTTGTAGCCCTAAAAAGAAGAGCTAAAAAAAAAAGTTGGTGTTTATATATCAAAATAGTTTAATTAAAATAACATCTAGCAATTACTAGATATAATTTGGCCTCTCTATGGCAATTCTTGGATTTAAAGTGGCCTGCCGTGACTATGTTGGCTGTACACATTTAAATACAAGTTTTCTAATGAAATAAGAATTAAGATAGGATTATGTTTAAAGATAAGGTTAGTAGGCCTTTAAGCATTAGTTACTTACACACTTTAATTCTGGGACACTACACTTGAAGATTACTGATGACCAAGAGGATGAGAAACGGTCTATGAAAGTCTCAGGGGTGACAGATAATTCTCACATTTTCACAGAATCTTCTTCCTTTAGATCCTGGAGATGCTGTAGAATGTGGTTTCCAGGTGACCATAAACAGGGCATGGCCATGAACCTTCCGGGACTTCTGATTCCAAAGGCAACTGAGCTCACCATCTGAGCCAGTAGTTGCCAGCCCCTCAAGGCTTCATACGCTGGGGTCTTTCACGTCTACAGCTCTTGGTGAGTGAAGTTCTGATGGTTCATCTCGACTGCCTCCCTGATTGCATTAAGAGGCACAGAGATGATAAAGCACTGCCGTGCATGTGTCTCTGGGAGACATCCCAGAGACACACGACCAGGGCTCTGGATCAAGCAGTATTGTTTGTTTATTGTGTGTGTGTGTGTGTGTGTGTGTGTGTGTGTGTGTGTGTGTGTGTGTGTGTGTCTGGGTACATGTGGATACAGGTTTGCATTCCATGTATGTATGTGTTTGTGTGTATGTTCACATGTGCATACAGGAATTAGATCACTGTTTACGTATCTTGGGGTACATATTTTTCCCTGGTACCTTCCTGTTACTGCTCCACCCTGCTTCCTGTTACTGTCCACACTGCTTCCTGTTACTGCTCCACTCTACTTCCTGTTACTGCTCCACCCTGCTTCCTGTTACTGCTCTACCCTACTTCCTGTTACTGCTCCACTCTATTTCCTGTTACTGCCCCACCCTGTTTCCTGTTACTGCTCTACCCTGCTTCCTGTTACTGCTCCACCCTGCTTCCTGTTACTGCTCCACCCTGCTTCCTGTTACTGCTCCACTCTGCATCCTGTTACTGCTTCACCCTGCTTCCTGTTACTGCTCCACCCTGCTTCCTGTTACTGTTCCACTCTGTTTCCTGTTACTGCTGCACCCTGCTTCCTGGCTGCCATGACATGAGCTGCTTTGTCCACTATGTCCTCCTTACCATGATGAGCCAAAGCCTCTGAAACATTTCCTCCCTGAAGTTCTTTCTGACAGGAGTTTGGTTACAGTGAAGAAAATCTGAGTAACACAAAGATACAACTAGACTTTGTAAAGCCTAAATTTATGACACAATGTTGCAGATAAATGTGGGATATATGCATACTGTTCCCAAAATACATGATTTTTTTATATGGAAACTAGCTTAGAAATGCAGGGTGGTGTATAAGGAAAGACCAACAAAAGAGATCATTAAACATAATAATCCCTTCTCTCTTTCTCTCTCTCTCTCTCTCTCTCTCTCTCTCTCTCTCTCTCTCTCTCTTCTCAAGACATGGTTTCTCTGTGTAGCTTTGCACCTTTTCTGGATCTCGTGCTGTAGACCAGGATGGCCTCAAACTCACAAAGATCTACCTGCCTCCCAAGTGCTGGGATTAAAGGTGTGCACCACCACCACCACCACCACCACCACCACCACCACCCAGCTAATACCCTTCTCTTAAGAGAAGCCCAGAGCCCCTGAACAAAGATGGAAAACAAAGACCACAGTACAGTTGGAAGGTTTCCAATGTCCTGCCCAGCCCACATGGGCCAGACAAATCTCTCCCACTCATGTTCCCCAAGTAAACATACAGAGGCTTAATATTATTTATAACTGCTCAGCCATTAGCTGGGGCTTGTTACTGACTAGCTCTTACACTTAAAATTAATCCATAATTCTTATCTATGTTTAGCCACATGGCTTGGTACCGTTTCTCCATTCTGCTTTCACATCTTGCTTCCTCTGTGTCTGGCTGGCGACGCCTGCCTCAGCCCTTCCTCTTCCCAGAATTCCCCTTGTCTGATTACCCTGCCTATACTTCCTGCCTGGCTACTGGCCAATCAGCATTTTATTTATCAACCAATCAGAGCAACACATATTCACAGCACACAGAATGACATTCCACAGAACTACAGGCTGGACACCCCATTTCCTCACACTTTCCCCTCTAAATATTCCAGTCAGTAGAATCTAGAAAACTATAAGCAAAAAGTGGAATAGAAGGTGCTGATAATGATATGGCCATTGTGTTAGGGGGTTTTCTGTATGTATCGGGACTCACAGTAAGTCTCCATGCAGCTAAACTTGAGAGGACTTGATGGAAACAAATGATAAGCATAATGTATCAGTAAAGAATAAGAATGTAGACTTTCTGAGAGACAAGCCATTCTCCACAGAAAGTTTCAAAGATGTCACCAAGACTACAGTATTTAATTTCAGAAAGGCCAAAGTTCTCATCATCAACTAAACTTGGTATTTATTGATGACCGACTTAGAGATCTGCCTGGGTCTCTCGGGTCCCAAGCTTTGTCTCCCAAATATAGATTCACACATTCCCAACCCATGGATTCCACTTCTGGTAAACAACAAGCTCTGTGGTAAATATTGCCTCTAGGCAGAGCACACAGTATCTAACCAAAACTTGATGGATATGTTCATGTTTGGGACTATTTTTAAAATGAAAAAAACATATTGACTTCAATCTAGGAACAATGTTTTTTACTTCTGTCTCTCATTAATTAGGAAACAGGAAAATTCCATTCAATGGACAACCCAGAATCTGCACTGAGCTGTACTCAGACAGAAAAGGGATGGGGCTGTTTTCACCCCAGGGTGATCCTGAGGCTCCAAACCCAAGAGGGAAGTTTCTAAGTGGAACTGCTCTAGTGGGAAGCCTGTCATGGTATCTCTCCCAAGGACAGTGAGTCCTGACTTCGGACATGTGGAAAATAAACATTGCTCTGGCTCTTTAACCAGCACCATGGAGTTTGTGTCTGCATCTTTCTCTTCCTTTCCCTAGTGACCAGCAGCTGCTCCCCAGGTCCATTATGGCCATGACCCCTGGAAAGAAAACTGGAGAGGAACACTGAGGATCTTCAGCAAGTGTCAGCATTTATTGAGTGACTGGTAGACTCACTGTGTTACTTGTGTTATTATTCTCTGGCTGTATTTTGCCTGTGTCTAGAAGTAAGCACTTTTAACAACATTAACAGGCAGTCAAAGCAAAGATTACACTGGAAGAAGTTAAATAGCCATGAAAGAGTTTATCCATGTCCACTGTAGTAACAACCAGAGTGTAGTTTGAACTTAACTCTGCTGGAAGAAAAGCCAGCAGAAACTTTAGTAGCTTCAGTCAAGCAGAACGTGAGCCATCTGTGTTTTCTAATTGGGTATCTTCAAAAGAAAAGTCAGCTTTCTCTGACCTTCCTGTGCAAAGGTAGCTCCGCCAGAAGCAAGGTGCTTTGCTGAACTTTGGTTCCCACTCTTTGAAGACACTGGAAGACAAGGCCCTGCGTTCACCTTTTCCTTATATTCCAGAAGGTGAATCCCAAGTTCTAGAGAGACATTCTTCAGCTGTAGAACTGATGAGATCCATTTTATCAAATTACATTTCAAAGTGGTGTAGAAATAATTTATAATTTGATTTTAAAGCACATGCGCTAAGGAAATGTAAATCAGGAGCCCAGGGAGGGGACAACGCTCCCTACAGGTTGGTGCAGGGGGTGGAGAGATTTGAAGGCTGTCTTCATCGTCAGTGGTGCATTCTAGCTCTCTACAGTGCTAGGGATTTCCATTTCTGCACTGAGTGATCCCTCTAATTGGAAGAAGACTTCAGTTGGTCTTTTCCCCTCAGAACAGAGAGTGGCATGTCTAATATATAATAGCAAAGAGGAGATATGTTGATGTATATGCAGGAATGAATTCATATGTAATATATTTTCTATTATACAGACCACACACACACACACACACACACACACACACACACACACACACACACATATTCATGAATGCATGCATCTATCTATCATCCATATCTCCTATCACCAACAATCCAAGAATTACCCAGGCAAGACTAAGAATAAGCCAGGTACCTAGCATTGGTCCTGTTTTAGCCTCCTCCTCATCTGCTCCCTAAAGAGGCCAAAGCCATATGATAGCAAAATCAGTATTGGTTACTTCTAAGCTTTTCCCAATATGTCTATTTTCCTTTACTTTCTTTAAGCTTCTAGAAAGATTTCCAATGCTGCCTTGGTGAAAATATCTGGGCAGATGTCAATGGCACAGCCATGCAGAGCAATTATAAAATACAGGATAACTATACTGCTTAACTTGGTAGGTGGCAATAAAAACTGAGGGATATAAAAAAGGGAAGAGCCTACATGTGTGAAAAGTTTGCAAAGTCACATAGAAAAGGTAGTGCCATGAATATGCTATATATAAATAATCTGAAAGATTCATAAATGCATTTCAAATGCATAGATGGCTGACATTGCTTTGATTGAGCTAAAGCATGGGTCCTTTATTAATTCATTTTCTAGGAAAGCCACAGCTACCAAGTCTTATGTTCCAAGTTGTTAAAGTTTTCTTGAAGCACAAAAATTACCTTAATCTGTGTAGATTCTTTATTCCAGGAAGCCTTAGCAGATCTCTTCAGGGGCATCAATATCTGTTACCACCTGTCAATAAAAACCAAGGTATAATCCATTACATTGTTTACAAATATTTCTCAAAAGACATTTCATGCTCAGTCTCAATTCCACAGATTATGAGGAGGACTCAGACAGCCCCATATGAAACCTGTAGCTGGGAGGGAAGGGGACCGGGATTTAGTCCCAACTCTGCCCTGGGAGCTTAGAGAAATGGTTTTCTAGCTAAGGACATCAGATGCCTCTTCTAGGAAGTGAAAACTGCAACAGATATTGGCTATGGTTTTACATTAGCACATAGTTGTAGTATCTTCAAATAGTTGCACTATGTTTTTACATGTAGAAATTTGGGCTCAGAGGATTTAAAATGTTTGCAGTAAGTCTTGCACAAGGAGGAACTTACCGGAGTCCATTTCTACATATAGACAAGGCTTATCCCTCACAGCCAGTGTGTCATATTAAATAGGGTCAATAACAGAGCTTGCTCTGCTGAGCTGGAGGCCTGAGCCAATGAGGCATCTGACTGTGAGGTGAGTCTGTTAGCAGGAGCAGCTCAGTGCTGAGTGAGACATGATGTGTGTAGAACGCGTGTGGACAGAAAACCAAAGCTGAGGATCTATGTGCAGATCTTCTCTAAGCTAGGAGAGGGAATGATATTGCAAAGCATTTCCAGATAAGAGTAGGCAAGTAAGTTCAACTCCTTACACTCCTGGGGACAGATTTTTGTCTCACCCCTAAATGCTGATCTACTTTCAATTTGGTTTCATTTGGTTACAACTAGCTGCAATCAATTGTCTGAAGTTGGGCTAAAATTCACTTGAATACCTTTTACGTCTACAAATGATTCCTAGTCACATGCCATACACTACAAGTGAGCTGCTTGAAACCCTGTGCAGTCTGAATGCCCTGCAAGACTCCAGGGTATAGCTCAGTCCTACCCTGGGGTGGTATTTTAGGACTGGATGGTGCTAAGCCTTCTGTGATAGTCTACCTGGGAACTACCAGTGACTGGTACATAAACCAGGGCACCCAGTTATAGATCCTGGGTGGATAGAACAATGACTCATGCTCAATTTATGTTCTATTCACAACACCTACACACAAAAGAGGAACCAGGCACTGATCTATCCTAGAGAATCTTCCAGAGGAGAGGAACAAAGACAGGAGGTGTCTGTGCCTCCCTATCATAGGCTGCACCTACTGCCAGCACACAGACTACTTCCTTGTTGCTGGTATGGTACAGCAATGGTAGCAGAGAGACCTGTCACAGCTGGCCAGACCCTTGGAGGAAAAGCGATGTTAACTGTATTTCCACCCACTTACCAAGGTCCTGCATTATATTAGTTACAGATATGCGCACATTTGGTTACTTAAAAATATTACCAACTCCGCTCAGTATGTGTTGCTGGTAGAATTCTAAGTTGGCTTTTAAAATGATCACCACCCCCCAAATGTCTTCTCCATCCATGATCCCACATTGATTTGCAGAGGAATTTAATAAGATGAAACTGACTCATAATATCTTTTTAAACATACATAAGGAAGAACAGTCACACAAAATGAAAATCTACAAATCAGGCACGGGACCTTTGCTGTAAACACTCTGTCTTGGTTAATTAAAGTGAGTGATGAGAACACAGCTTGAGTCCTGGGCAGCACCTCAGACTTGGAGCACTACTGACCACCAGAGAAGGCACAGGAGTCTTCTGATGTGCTTGGATTTTACACAGTGCCTTGGAGATCTAACTGTTTTCCCTGGACATTCAAGTGGAACATAAAAACCAAAATAAACATAGAGTGTGCAGAGCATTTTGCAAGTCAGACATCGAGAAAATGGCAGATGAAAGCACTGTGAGAGATTTCCATCACACAGTACTATGGAACTGGAAGGAATGGATTCTAGTTGTGACACCCAGACCTTCAGACAAAAGTTCAGTCTGATGACCGAGACTGTGAAGTGCTGGCCTCAGAGTGCACCATAGCATCATGAATTCATGAAACAAAATATGAAATTCAGTGTTTTCAAATCTAGTTAACTGAAAATGCTGCTTGGGATAATTTTTCTAATGCCACTAAGCTTTTTTTATGCCTTAAATGATAGAAATTTCAGTTTGACTCTTATAGAAAACACACACAAGTAACAAGAACAGTCTCTTCAGATACAATTTATTTCACCTAGCAGTAGAACAAAGCAATTTAACTGTATGAAATGAGTGATAAACAATATAGGACAAAGCCTGTTGAAGATTGTAAGCACCATAATGATTGTTCAGGGGAATATATCTGGTCCTCCTCCCCAAAATCAAGTTTGGAACTAATAACATAGACACAAAAACACTAGCTTTAAAACTAAGGGTGTTTTAAGAGAAAGTTTTGGGCATGTCTCTTCATTTTGTATAGAAATATGTGATGAGTCCCTCATAGGGTCCTCCTTGTTAGCTGACTTCTCTGGAACTGTGAGTTGTAATCTAGTTATCCTTTGCTTTACATCTAGTATCCACTTGTGAGTGAGTACATACCATGTTTGTCCTTCTGAGTCTGGGTTACCTCTCTCAGGATGGTATTTTCTAGTTCCATCCATTTGCCTGCAAATTTCATGATGTCATTCTTTTTTACTGAGTAGTACTCCATTGTGTATATGTACCACATTTTCTTTATCTGTTCTTCAATTGAGGAGCATCTAGGTTGTTTCCAGGTTCTGGATATATGAGTAATGCTGCTATGAACATAGTTGAGCAAGTGTCCTTGTAGTATGATTGAGTATTCCTTGCGTATATGCCCAAGAGTGGTATAGCTGGGTCTTGAGGTAGATTGATTCCCAATTTTCTGAGAAACCACCATACTGATTTCCAAAGTGGCTGTACAAGTTTGCACTCCCACCAACAGTGGAGGAGTGTTCCCTTTGCCCTGCATCCTCTCCAACATAAGCTGTCATCAGTGTTTTTGATCATAGCCATTCTGACAGATGTAAGATGTTATCTCAGAGTCATTTTGATTTGCATTTCCCTGATGACTAAGGATGTTGAGCAATTACTTAAATGTCTTTCAGCCATTGGAGAGTCTTTTGTTGAGAATTCTCTGTTTAGCTCTATAGCCCATTTTTTAATTGGATTCGGTATTTGCTAGTTTCTTAAATTCTTTATATATTTTGGAGAACAGCCCTCTGTCAGATGTGGGGTTGGTGAAGATCTTTTCCCATTCTGTAGGCTGTCATTTTGTCTTATTGACCATGGCCTTCGCCATACAAAAGCTTCTCAGTTTCAGGAGGTCCCATTTATTAATTGTTGCTCTCAGAGTCTGTGCTACTGGTGTTATATTTAGGAAGTGGTCTCCTGAGCCAATGCATTCAAGACTACTCATTGATTGCCCTACAAAGGAGAAATAGATGAGATCTACATGAGCAAACTGGGAGTGATGGGGGTCAGTGCAGGGTAAGGGATGGAAAATGAGAACATAAGGAAATAGGAGGTTTGAGCTGGAACAGGGACAGAGTGGGAGAGCAAGGATAGAGATATCATGATAAATGGAGACATCATGGGAATAGGGAGAAACAGGGTGCTAGGGAAGCTCCCAGGAATCCATAAGGATGACCTACGGTGATACTTTATTTGTACCGAAATGTGATTTTATTTGTATGTTAATAAATAAAGTTGCCTGGGGGTCAGAGCTAATAGCAAGCCTTAGCAGAAGCTGGGCGGTGGTGGTGCACGCCTTTAATCCCAGCTCTTGGGAGGCAAAGCTAAGCGGATCTCTGTGTGTTCAAGGATACAGCCGGCATGGAGATACATGCCTTTAATCTCAATACCAACCATAGAAGACCTGGAGGTCTGTACAGACAGGCAGTGACTAGGAGGTCATGTGGTTGGGTTTACAACCAATGAGAAGGCAGAACAGAAACACTATAAAAAGACAGACACACAGGAAGTGGGTCTCTTTTGGAGGGGTAGTGTGGGGAGTTGGCCCACCAACCCCACAGTTCCCCAGAGTTTTCTTGAGTGCAAGCAGCAGAAAATATTAGATAGAAGGATTTATTGTAGAGAATCTTGTGGAGAGAAACAGATAGAAAATAAAGGATAGCCTCGAGAGGACCTGGAACCTATTCCAACTGGCCCTGACTGTCTCTGCCCCAGGGTTTTTATAGAGACTCCAAGGGGTGGAGCAAAAGACCTCCCCCCAGCACAGCCAAGTGCAGACCATCTCAGACACCTGCACTCAGGCCCGTGGTCCTGATCATCCTCTATTCGGACCTGCTGGGTAAAGCCACGAGGAACCCAAGAACGGGCTCCCACAGGGTAGTGCAACAGTAACAGTGAAGGGTAAGGTTTTTAGCTCTTAGCTATTGCTCTGACCTCTTGGCTTTCATCTCTGTATTGGCTCTGTATTTCTTATGTAATAAGACCGCTGGTTACTTCTAAAATGACCCCATCTTAGACTACCAGCAATAGTCAAGAAGGTGCCTGAACTGACCTACTCTGGTAATCAGATTGGTGAATACCCTAACTGTCATCATAGAGCCTTAATCCAGTAACTAGTGGAAGCAGATGCAAAGATCCACATCCGGGTGCCAGGCTGAGCTCCAGGATTTCAACTAATGAGAGAGAAGAGGGACTCTATGAGCAAGGGACATCAAGATCATGATAGGGGAATGTACAAAGGTGGCCAAGCCAAACTAGTGGGAACTCATGAACTGTGGACCAATAGCTGTGGAGCCCCCATGGGACTGGACTAGGCCCCCTGAATAGGTGAGACAGTTGTTTAGCTTGAACTGTTTAGGGGGCCCCTTGGAAGTAGGATTAGGATCTGTCCCTTGAGCAGTAGCAGGCTTTTTGGAGCCCAGTGGCTATGATGGGACACCTTGTGCAGCCTTGGTGCAGGGGGAGAGGCTTGGATGTACCAGGCTCTGCTGACTCCCCATGGAAGGCCTTGCCTTGGAGGAGGTGGTAATACGGGGTGGGTTGGGGTGCAGGCTGGGGGGCAGGAGAAGAGGGGGATCTGTGGTTGGTATGTAAAATGAATAGAAAAATGTCTTAATAATAATAATAATAATAAAAGAAATATGTGATAAGATATAACTAGAGGCATGCAGACATAATGTGCTGTATATGTGGTTATGGTAAGCAGTATGCTATAGTATACTATCAAAGTAGTATAATATACTATACTTATTATGCATACAACTTTAAATAAACCATGTAATTAACACATGAAATTTTGCCAACTAGCTCATATCCATCATCTATCTATAAATTATTTATCACTCTCATCAATCACCTGTCTGCTATCTAGCTATACATTATTTACCTATTATTTATCATCTGCCATCTGTTTACCTGTCACCTATCTGTTATCTGTTTATTTATCATCTGCCTGTTATCTATCATCTGATATCTATCATCAATATACCAAGCTATCATCTATATCAATCTATCACCTATCTATCTAGCAAACTAGCTAGCTGTCTTCTATCTATAGATTATCAATCTATCATCTGTATCTTTCTATCCTGTCATCCATTTGTCTGTCTAACCATCCATCTATGTATGTATGTATTATGTATATATTATGTATGTATGTATGTATGTATGTATCTATCTATCTATCTATCTATCTATCTATCTATCTATTTATCTCTCCCTACAATATAATTCAGGGAGTTTAACATCCAAGTCCATATGTAAGTCTCTTAATCTGCTCAAAATCTGCAAAGAATCATTTCCATGGGCTCCATGACTTTCCTATGAACTTGGTTAAGAAGAAAAATGTCAGTGCATTTGACAGACCCTTTTTAATCATAGCCTACATAAAAACCTCAAATAATTCTCCCATTTAAAAAAAGCCAACTTCTTCACGCAGTGTATCCTATTAATGTGTTAAGTTTCCAGGAATGTCACAATAATGTACTACAGTTTAGTGGATTTAAACAATTCCATTTGTTCTTGCTCAGTTGTGGAGTTTGGAGGTCTGATATAGAGTGTGGGCAGGTTGACTTCATCAAGGACTCTGAGGGTGGGATTCTCCCAGGCTTCCTGCTGAGCTTGCATTTGAGTTGGGATGGGGGCACAAGGCAATGCAGCATCTCCTGTATCTTTTTGTGTCTTCTTTGATATATCTGGGTCTCAATGTCCACTTCTTAGAAGTTACTAGGACCCATTGTACTAGGGCCCATTCTCATGACTGCATCTCAGTTGAATTCTGGGAAAACTGTCTCTAAACGAGGCCACATTTCACAGTCTTACCAGTCTCATCCCTGTTTCTCGTGACCACGTTTATTTATTATTTTCACATTCCTTTAACATTACCAAATGTTACTTAAGTATAGTGTGGTGGTTTGGATGAAAATGATCTCCACAGGCTGGTACATCTGAATCCTTGGTCCCCAGCTGGTGAAACTGTTTGTGCAGGATATAAAGGTATAGTCTTTTTGGAGGTTGCCTATCAGTAGGGGGAGGCCTTTGGTGTTTCATAAGCCTTCCATTCCCAGTTAGCTCTCTCTGCCTTTGGCTTGTGGATTAGGTGAGAGCTCTTGGCTATTGCTTTAGCAACAGGCCTGCCTGCCTGTTGCCATTCTCCCTGCCACGTTGGTCAAGGACTCTATGCCTCTGAAACTGTAAGCCCCCAATAAACTCTTTCTTCTATAAATTGTCTTGGCCATGGTGGCTTACTATAGCAACAGAATAATAACTACATCTAGTCTTGTATAACATCAGTGACTGTGTCTATTCCCCACAACTTGACTTTTCTCAGACACTAAAAACTGTAGCCTGTTTTGTTGTCTGCTCCACCACATGGAGCCCTTTGAACTCTCTGCCTTAACAGCTCAGCTGTGCATAGCCTGACAGACTCCATCTTCAGTCTATGCACTTTCCTCTTCAGTGGCTCAAAGCCCAAGGCAGCTGCCACTTCTTCCATGGGAATTTTTGCCATGTGATCTAGCCAAAGTGTTTCAATACATCTTGGAATCATCCTGGTGCCCTTGGTAGTGACCCTCAAGACATCTCTACTGTTTATAACTACTGCTTCCTTCTCTCAAAGCTCTCACATGTCATTGCTCAGTATCTACATTGAGGAGAGTGATGAAGCACCATAGGCTATTAATGTACAGCATGAGACTCAGAAGCAGCTGTGGTCCTCTCTGAAACTACAACCGAACTAAGGGGCTTCTGTAGAAAGAAATATCCATAGTGATGTGGGGAAAATGTAAGGGGCAAGTATGACAATTCATTATTCAGGAGCCCTAGGATCAATGCAGAAAGGTCTTCACAATGTAATGTTTGGTATTTGTCTCTTCACCTCAATTCTGGGTATTTATTCAATTCCGATAAATTAATTGTGAGGAAACATTTTTGCAACCCAAGTATTTGCCTTTAGCAACTAACAGCATAGTTCACGGTGCACTCACCACATAGGGACAGTCATGCTCTCAACTCTACTGATTTTTTTTTTGCTGTGGGGCATACAAGCATTGGGGAATATGAGAATCAAATAAAAACATGGGAACTCATGTTATTAAAGCAGACACCCTTCCTTCTCTCAAATTAATGAAATTGGAGATATGTAAAAGTGTGATACATAGAGGAAATTCAAATGACCAGGAAGATTGTTTTCTGTATATTTAATGTGGACTCACAGTCTCAGAAAATGGATTTAAAATATGTATTATACCATGCTGAGAAAGGAAATCTACTTGGTTGTCAGTGATATACATTCTTGGTATTTTCTAGATAGATTTTCTTGGGGACAAATGATAATACATCCAGGCAGGCAAAATCACATTACATAATTCTACCAAATAACTGCAATGAATTTATAGCAGATTAGAATCAAGAATTACATTAGCCGAAACATTAAATTATGATGCAGGCTCCATTTTACTTAATACTCATTTGAACAGAAAAAGAATTCAGTTACTGGGATCTCAAAATAACATCAGCTTGTCTGGTTTGGAGATGTACAGGAATAATGAATGTGCCTGTTTTTATTCTTTCTACTTAAGTGTGTATTAGATTAAATTTCCATTTGACCTACTCCATCAGTAAATGCATAAATCCAGGATACTTCCCACGGACAGCCATTAGGCTGGATTCTTTAATGTGAAATGCTGAACAAGATAAGGGGAAAAGAGAGAAAAGAGGATATATATGATTCTCCTCCAATGGGACACAAAAGGTAGCAAGGCTGGAACTTCCTCCGAGAAGACAGGGCCCTGTTGAATGTCTACTCCACAGTACAGAGCACCCTCGGGGAAGACAGGATGCCATTCCACAGTGCAAATGACAAAATGACAGGACATCTGGGCCATGTTAGTCTTAATTTTAAACTATATTGTTGCTGCTAAGTGAGAATATAGTGTTTGTGTGTGTGCTTGCCTGTATATGTGCCCAAATGAATGGTTTTAATTCTAGGAGTGTGTGTGTGTGTGTGTGTAAAGAGAGAGTTTAATTCTAGGAGTGTGTGTGTATTCTGTCTGTCTATGCAGAAAGATGGGGGGAGGGAGGAAGGGAGTGATGGAGAGGGAAGACAGTGAGAGAGATTAGGTTATGTGCATGGGCTAATACACATAATTCACAGCTGTATGCATGACCATGTGCCTGTACCTGGAAACACCCTTGGCTTAGATTTTCCATTTAAAATGCATGCATTAGTGTAAACTTTCAAATGCATGCATTACCTAGAAACTTCCAAATTCTTTTGTTTTAACCCTTTAGAAAGCAGTTGAGAATTGATGGCTGGGGATCTCAGGAGGCACTTGGTTGATCTCTAGCCATTTATAAACTCTAATTATTAATTGATTACAAACAGATTTTTTTCAAATGTTACCTAAAATCATAATCAGTCCAATCATTCTTCAATAGCAACTTACTTTCAAATATTCCATCAATTATATTGGTAGACACAGATATAGAGCCTTCTGGGGAGCAGTGGTGTGAATCCTTCCTAAACTGGGAGCAATTTAAAATATTCTCATTAATGGCTGTACAGTCACTTCTCACTCTGTACTAGAAAGGTTCAAACAATTATTATTCATGAAAAAAGTAACTTTATGTCATGCAACCAATGTGCATTACAAAATAAGACTACTTGATGACAGTTATGCTTATAGAAAAGTTTAAAAACCATTTACTCATAGAAAACAATTGTTGTAGTTTGACTGTAACTGGTACCCATAAGCTCATAAGGAGTGGCACTATTAGGAGGTGCAGCTTTGTTGGAGTAGGTATGGCCTTGTTGGAGGAAGTGTGTCACTAGGGGCGGGCTTTGAGGTCTCTTTTGCTCAAGCTTTGCTCAGTATGACCTTCAGACCATTTCCTGTAATCTGTAAGATGTGGACTCTCAGCTACTTCTCCAGTACCATGTCTGCCTGCATGTCACCATGCTCCCCTCATGATGATAATGGACTGAACCTCTGAAACTATAAGCTGCCACCTCAATTAAACGATTTCCTTTATAAGAGTTGCCAGGGTCATGGTGTCTCTTCAATGCAATAGAAACCCTAAGACACCAATATGAAAGTAACCAACTTAACACATGCATTTTTCTTAGACCAGTGGTTCTCAACCTTCCTAATGCTGTGACCCTTTAGTACAGTTCCTCATGTTGTGGTGACCCCAATCATAAAATTATTTTTATTGCTACTTCATAACTGTAATTTTGATGCTGTTATAAATCATAATTAGAGATAGAGGTTTGCCAAAGGGTTTGCAAACAGCAGATTGAGAACCACTGACTTAAACCAATAATTTCCTCTTATGCTTACAGCTTAAATGCCCTGTGGAGTTTGTTCCTACTGATTTCAGAGACATACTGAGGCTTTACAAGCTACCTTTTCTCTACCGTTATCATTCTTGGTGAAGCAGGTGGGGTCTGCTGTAGAGACAACATGGTTTGTGATACTCACTAGAATGTCTTGGTTATTTCTCAGGATCTACTCTCTTTTTTCTTTATTTCTCCCCTTGTTTCCCTATATGGATATGGAAAGCATTATTGAGGGTCTCAGATATTTAGACATAGAATGGGGAATATATATTCAAAGGAGTCAAAGGTGAATAAAACTGGGTTCATGTCTTCCAGGAGGCCACATACAACTAAATCAGACAGGCAATAAAGGGGCTGTCAGAATCATCAGGATCAGGAGATGACACATGCGCAGTGGATGCTGTTTGGTGACGGAGTGACAACTTCATCTCAAACTCAGGAGACCAAGCTATAGAGGCCACATCTCTGATAATGAGCAGCTGCTCATGTGACCAAAAAAACAGTAAGAGTAGCTCTTTTAGGAGATGAGATGGAGGGTGTTGCTCATCCTAGAAGCTAGTGACCCCCCCATCTCTCTCCCTCCCTCCTTCCCTCCCTCTTTCCCTTCCATTAAGGAACTAAGAGAAATGTATCACTTAATGTGGAATGCAGTGGCCAGAAAAACACACATACTCAGCAGCGTTGGCAGACTAGCTTTTTAGAAAAGAGCACTAACCGAAACTCATCTGTAGTCTTGCCACTTTCTGTGAATGTTTCCAGTGGCCACTGGTTTATCAACCGAGTTAAACATTCTCCAGTATTAACCATTAGTATTGAGTTGCTTCTGGTCAACCCTGTCCCAGAAGCAGAAGCAATCACTACCCTGGGACAACTACCTTAGAGTCAGAGACATGAGCCTTGCCCTCCAGTTTGAATACTTTTCTACAAAGCTTTTTCCAGCGGTCAGGAGGGCTCAGTTACTCTCCCCCATCAGGATTTCTAGCTGAGACCAACAGAGGCTCCTGGAAACAAAGTGGCCGGTGAGAACAAAAAGTTCACAGCTCTGGCACTGGATACACAGAGGACAAAACTCTTTCCCCTATTTTGATGAGTTCAGTGAGGTTGCTGGTTGGAACAATGAAGGGCGAGATCACTTGGGCAAAAAAGAGATTTTTAGATGTAGAGTGGAGGAAAGCACACGGAGAAGAGAGCAAAGGGCACCCTCTGTGACAACGTTCTCCAACCACCCAAGCAGATTGGACAGGAGGGGGCAGGCAGTGAGGAACTCCTTCCCAGAGAAGAAAACGTGGGGTAGGAAGTTGGCAGTGCAAACACTAAGTGGGATCCAACAACCTGTGTGCAGAGAAGGCAGAGTGCCTGTTTAAGTAATTAATCCCTAAGAACATAATTACCCTAAATCTTATCCCTGAGAACAGAGTACTTGAACTGAGATTTGCATCTGCAAAGAAATCAATGTTAAGCCTGGAGCTTCTGAGATAATTAGGAACCAAACCTTCGTGCTGGCTTCATACCTCATCCTCAGGTGCTCACTCTCTTACTGAAATAAAAAAAAAAAAAAAAAACTGTCGATGAGATCTAAGTCAGGGGAGAAGGAAAATATCTATCTATAATCACAGTGGAATTGGGGCTATAACAACTTAAAATCGTGTTGTATAAAGTATTAATGGAAGTAACTTTTCCATGTGTTTTTCTTGGAGGAACTGAGGGGAGGCTTCTGAGCTCTGATCCTATGCCATCAAGGACAAGCTAGAGATACAGATTAGGAAAGATAAACATAGCCATGTGTGTGAGCAACTCCAAATCATGCACAGCGAAGTGCATACATGACTGGGTTAAAGCCAACCCTAGCTAGTTGTTCAATAAAGGTATCAAAGCTGAGTGTGCTCTAGAAGTCACGCAGACACAAAGAACTGATTCCAGGAGTAGAGTGGAAGCAAAGGAAGAGAGAAGAGACTGATGAGCCACAGCATGAGAAGGGGCAGCATTCAGGGAGGCAGGCTGGTGGCAGGAGAAACCTCTGCACAGGCGAGAGAAATGTGGGCCCCGTTTTCCTAAACCATGAAGAAAGGTGCTTCCTGGGCCCAGTAGATATTGAAGTAGGCAGAGAAAAAAGATAAAGGAAACTCTGTGTGTGTGTGTGTGTGTGTGTGTGTGTGTGTGTGTGTGTGTGAGAGAGAGAGAGAGAGAGAGAGAGAGAGAGAGAGAGAGAGAGAGCAGTGACAGGTTAAATAGTGGAAGATGGATAAATACATAGGCAGAAGACAGACACTTGGATGATAGATGATAGACAGATGCACACAATGACCATTGCAATTGAAGAACTGACTTGTGTTATTTTTTGAATCCTGGGGGCCAACTGGGGACCCAGGTATAAGTCAAGTTTGGATTATGGAAGCATCTAAAATGAAAGACCCCCAACATGGGAAAAGTGAGTCTTTGGTCCATCAGTGATTTTATCTGTTTGGATAAAGTCTGCCAATGGTACTCAAACCCCACAAATTTCAATGTTAATCTCATCATGAATGAAGAATAAATGAATAGATACATAGGTCAATAAATAATCACCCACAGAATAATGTGTGGCTAAAGTCTGGCATGACCCAAGCTGAGACGTGACATTAATTATCATGGTGCTGCCTCATAGAACTCTAAGCTTGAAAACACAGAAGACACAGACAGATCAGGACATGGGAAATGTGAGAGAAGAAATGAAAGGAAGTTATGTCATATCAAGGAAAAGGTGATGTACAAAAGCTGGAAGCAGATATGTGAAAGTGTTACACACAGCAATTACTCTGCATGTAACATATTACGGGAAATGATAGATTCTCAGTGAAGAATGTCAATTATGAGTTTGGAATGAAAAGTAAATAGGAATTAAATTTATGAATTTTCAGGGGGAGATGACAAAGAATGTTAATAAATATATAAGTTTAACTCTATTAAAAACCTATGAACACTGAAAAGGCTCAATAAAGTGATTTATTTGGGGGCTTTGGAGAACTTCCAGTGGGTACATTTTTCTTCCCATTCTCAGTTTGATATGTCCTGAATATAAATTCAGGAACCTTCAGGTTTGAAACCGATGCCTCCCTTGTTTTTACTCTCCTTTCTTATCATATGTGTCTATCATAACCTCCTTAATATTTCATAGAGAAAGAAATTTTTAAGTCATACCTCTAAGCATGGAGGATTTACAGAGACATGGAGGCAAGAGAACCAAAGCAAGAATGTAGAGTCCAATACTGGGAAGTCTCCTTGTTCTCGGGAAGGCTTACAGGAGGAGCTGGGAGAAGCTGTAACTATTCCAGCAACATCTTGCCTCTTAAGGGTAAAATTGTCCACGCAAACTTCTGTGATGTGTTTTCCTGCCGTGGTCTGTGTCAAGCCACTAACTCACACAGGCTTGAAAATCTGGAAACTGGCTCATTGTGGGTGGTCCAAGCTGGCTCCAGCAGACCACAGGCAACAGAACTTACTATGCTAAAGGCACCCTGAAGTAGTCTCTACAGGAAGCTGCACCCATTGTTCAGGAGGACCTGAGGGCCTGAGTTGATGGAATAGCTCACAGTAGAGGAAGCTGCATGTAAAACACAGGTCACATCACACCCTCTTGAGTCCAGTACCTTGTCCCTAGAGCCACTGGTGCCGAGATGCCCAGACAGCATTGTTCGTGGCCCCTGAGCCTCGCTCTGAGCCTCACTTCAGAGAATAGTTCTTTGGATTTTTAATCAAGCACTACAGAAGTAATTTAACCACATCCTGCATTGTTTTTACAGGAAATTCAGAGCAAATAATCATATTTCCCATGTGCCTGGTTATTCAGAACACATTTCAGACCACCTTTCCATCTGATTTGGATATCTTTGGTAGATTAGTATCCATGGAAACATGAAGTTTTACATCTGCAAATAGTCTCTTTAAGCAGCTAAAGTTAGGAAAGATGGTTGGGGCCTGTCTGATGCACTGGTCATAAATACTTGCAATTAGGTCATTTTCAAACAGTGTTTTGGCTTGATGAAAATATGTGAACTTAATTGTTTTTGGACTAAAACCAAATGTTACAGATTTCCTCATAAAACATAAAGAAAGAAAAAAATTAAAACTGGAGAAGAAACAAAAATATAGCTGTAGTAGGTTTTAAAATGAAATTATCAGCTGTCCTGAAAACAACTGATTTATTGCATTGCCTACTTTGCTCTGTGTGAGCAAACGGTGAACGCTGTGTTCTTTACTGTACTCACCCAGCTTCTACATTGTGGGTGCTCAATAGAAAACTAATAGTGCACTTTGATTGACATCACTAGCCCATAAGCATGGGCCATAGGGTGTAGGTGTGCCTTTTGTTTTATCCCTTCTTTTACTTAGTATGTTTTCAAGGTTCATTTTTCTTGGAGGATGGACATAAACTCAATTTATTTTTGTTATTCATTTGAGTGGATAGTCCACATTTTACTCACCTGTTATGATCTCTAATGGAGGGGAGAAATTTTTATAACTAGGCTGTGAATATATCTCTGTATGCTGTGAATATGTTGCTCTGATTGGTTAATAAATAAAGTGCTAATTGGCCAGTAGCCAGGCAGGAAGTACAGAGGGAACAAGAGAGATGAGAATTCTGGGAAGTGGAAGGCTGAGTTAGGAGTCACCAGCCAGACACAGAGGAAGATGTGAAGGCAGAACTGAGAAAAGGTACCAAGCCACGTGGCTAAACGTAAATAAGAAGTATGAGTTAATTTAGGTGTAAGAGCTAGTCAGTAAAAAGCTTGAGCTAATGGCCATACAGTTCGTAAATAATATAAGCTTCTGTGAGTTTACTTGGGTCCGAGCAGCTGTGGGACTGGTGGGTAAGAGAGCTTTGTCCTGACCACCTGCAGCCTGGGACACAAGAAATCTTTTAGCTACATAACTATATTACTAAGATATACTGCTATCTAGATTTTGACTAACTACACAAACACAAACTGCTGAATCTGTCTAGTGTTACTTCTTTATAGGTTTTCTGGGATGATTGTTTGGTCATTTTATCTTTAGATGTTTTCATTGTAATCATTTAAATCTGAAAATAGATGAGGAAGGACAATTCTAATTTATCCCATGTGACATATTTCTGTAAGGATCATTATTCTACAAATAAAACTAGAATTGCCTCTGAAACACAGTCAAAAATAATATCACTCTTTAATGTATTTTCAACTCATTCCTCACAAAAATAAGCTACGGCAAGACACTGATGTTTCATTTTTGCTGATGAAACTCACCTTTGCATGAGGTCAAATTACAAGTTTTTTTTTTTTAAGTGGCAGAATTAGATTCTTTCAAGCACTTTCTCCAGAATTTAGAACTCCTTAGGCATGCATTGTATTCACACTTGAGATTTCACAGTGTGGAAACAGGACTCACTTTCTTGGGAACACAATACCACCACATTTCCTCTCTTTTTGTCTAAAAGTAAAGAAAGCTTAAAACTAATACAAGAAAAACTATCCAATAAGTATATACAATATATACAGCCAAAAATTACATTAATGATGTCTAGTCCATTAACATTTGACAGATTCAGATAAAAACTCCATTATAGGCCGGGCAGTGGTGGCGCACGCCTTTAATCCCAGCACTCGGGAGGCAGAGCCAGGTGGATCTCTGTGAGTTCAAGGCCAGCCTGGACTACCAAGTGAGTCCCAGGAAAGGCGCAAAGCTACACAGAGAAACCCTGTCTCGAAAAACCAAAAAAAAAAAAAAAAAAAAAAACTCCATTATATATATTAACAATGTCCAGTAACATCTGATAAACTCAGACTAACTCCATCACATGAGCCCTTTGACAGGCCCGGGGACACAGCTGGAGGGCCCCTTTCAGACAATAGAGGTGGTGCTGTCTCAACAGGACCCAAACTACCTGTAGATTCCTGCTAAGGAGACTCCACTTAGCCCAAAGTGGGAAACAGTTCAATCCCGAACCCTAGAGTGACTTAAGACAATGGGCCTTGACCCCATCCCACTTCCCTGAGACACACAGAGCAAAAAGCTTACACACACACACACAAACACACACAGAGAGAAAAAGAGAGAGAGAGAGAGAGAGAGAGAGAGAGAGAGAGAGAGAGAGAGAGAGAGAGAGAGAGAGAGATGCTACTCCTGTACCTCTTTCCTGGATCACAGTACCTGATTCAGAGCATCCATGGTGCACACATTTGATTCCATCTGCATCATTTCAGCAGGCAATTCAAGATCGCCCACTTCCTATCCATGGTTATCTTAGGTACACGGAGCTACAGCTCCTCCAATCTGCCTTTCAATAATGCAGAATAAAACTACCCAGTGTCTCACTCTCCTGTGACTGCAGGGAGATGAGGTTATTACGCCATTTCTACAACCACCCAAGAAGGAAGGTTTTCCAGTCTCATGTTAAGGAATAGTTAACGTTGTATAAAATTCCACAATTCTAGGGACCACAATTTGGACCACCAACCAGCACCCAAATCATGACACAGAGACTTATTAGTTCTGAATGTTCAGCCTAGCTAACATTCTGGCTAGCTCTTTTAACTTAAATTAACCTGTCTATCTACCATTTGCCTTGGGGCTTTTTACTTTTCTTCCTTCTGTTTATCTTAATTTCAGGGCTTCTCAGGTCTGGCTGGCTGGCAGCTGCCTGGCTTCTTACCTCAGGCATGTGCCTCTCTTATTTCCCCATTCTCTTCTTCTTCTTTCGAGCCTAGATTTCTCCTCCTATTTATTCTCTCTGCCTGCCAGCCCACCTATCCCTCTCCTGCCTAGCTCTTGGCTGTTCAGCTTTTTATTAAACTAAGCAGGTACCTTGAGCAGGCAAGGTGAAACAGATGCAACACATCTTTACATAATTAAACATGCGTCCTTACGTCATCAAACAAATGCAGCATAAACAAAAGCAACACACCTTTACCCAGTTAAAGTAACATTCCACAGCATAAACAAATGTAACACATCTTTGTACAGTTAAAATAATATTCCACAACAGGGGGGCTCTTCAGGAAATATTCTGATTTGGGGCTCTCCTTTACAGCACCACTCCCTTCCTTCAGCACCCCCATTTCCCCCAATCCTCAAGCACTTTCTTGGACTTCCCTCTCTCTTTTCCCAGATCTCCCTGAATTGGTTGATTGGTGTTCGGCTCTAAAGCAAGGTATATGCACAGTCCCTCCCCTAGGGGGCGCTTACCGCTCCCCAAAGTTTCCAACAACTTAGCTCCACAGGGGACTTCAAGGCCCTCCATTACAAAAACCCTTCAGAGCCGAACCTTCTCAATACCTTGCAGACAAATCATATACACCTCAGCCTGAGTTTCAGCATTAGCTACCTTTGTAGTTGTCTTTGACATCTCAGGCAGAGTTGGGAGCCTTCTGACTTCTCGTTGTCTTTCCTGAGCTTGGGATGGGGATGTCTCGCCATGTCCAGAGACAAAGTCCAGCACGCCGTTTGAGATGGACCTTAAAGTCCACATTGTTACGTCATTGCACTGATCTCCTGGAAAGCAGTGGTTCTGGTATCTATCTCTCACCAGACCCCTTGCAGTCTGATTGTAACATGAGCTCCAGGTGGCCTCTGGCTCAGTGCTTTGGACTTAGTCAACACACAAACACTTTATCACAAGAACTGATACTTGGCCTTTTGCTCTCTGAGCTGAATATTATTTGATCTCTTTCCTGGGCTTCTCATCTGGTTCTGCCAATGGGGAACTGTAGAGCAGAGGAAGGTAAAGCCAGGACACTGCGGGTGTTGACGCAGCAGCCACGTCTTCCCAGCTCTGGCTTCTCCCAGCCAAGATGCTTTATTTGCAGCCTTTGCCCCTCAATGCCAGGTTCTTAGCTTCAGCAGTCCCTCACCCAGTTCCTCCCACATTGCTGCTTCCTGGAGTGTCCGCTACACTCACACCAGGTCTCTGTGCTTTTCAATGCCGAGGCTGTTCATCTTCCTGTGGTTAGATTCTGGTTAACCGTGATTACAGCCTTGAAAACTACAGGCCAGTTACCTGAACGTAGAGAGGCCACTGGGAGAGTGGAGCCAGGAGGAGAGTGGCAGAATCTTGACTGGCCCTGTCTGCCAACGTTGCTTCCTGTGCTTAGGATAGCCCAGCCAACCTCCTCTCTGTCCCCTGTGGTCAGAAACCATCATCCTGTTGTTTCCTGAAAGGCCACTTCTTCAGTCTCTGCTGTCTTTGGCAGAGAATCCTTCAGAGGTCAGTCCACAGTACTTTTTCTAGCTTGACTTTGCAGCAGCCTCAATTTGCGACATAGCAAATGTACAGCAACTGCTCTGGCTGGAGTCTGGTTATAAAGAATGCCATCTCTGCATCTGTTCTCTGCTAGGACTCGCTAAGTGTGAGCACAGAGGCGTGGGGTGTTTATAGCACAGAAGCAAAGAACTCCAGCTGGAGCTGCGGCTCTTTCCCCATCCTCGTTCTCCTTCTGAAAAGGCCCTCCCTGCTTAGGACCTGTGTCACCCGAACATCAGTGCTACACTCTCCTAAGTATATTCCATCAGAAACGTAACTACCCATCAAAATGTTAGACAGGAAGCAAGCCATACTAAGACAAAGGAGGATATTTTCTTCACAGAGCCTATCTGGTTGTCAATAGAAGTCATAAAATTAAATAAATCCCACTCAACATCCCGCTAGGGTGCACAAATCACACCCTCTATGGATCTAGTATGCTCTGTCACTGCCTGTGGATTTACACGCTTGACATGACCACATGATGGGTTACTCGATTGTACACACTCCTGGCCTTGGAATTCAAGTGAGAATGCAACTTTCACCCTTCCGAATTCTTACTCACTTGGGGAGAGGAATATTTGTGACTATGTAGCTTACAAACCCACCGATAACCCAGTGTCCTCGTCCAGACATTTCTGCCTCTCTAGGGCTGCCCCTCCCCCCTCCCCTCCTGGCAAGAGTCCAGGTCCACAGTGAGGAAAGCAGAGCTTCCCCCTCCTCTTCTGCCCTCCCCCGTGGAGAACGACCTTCCTTGACTTGCACTAACCTATCACGGTTTTTGCTGTTCTAAGTGTTCAGGGTAGTGGTGAGTGTGTTTTTAAATAGAAAGTACTTCTATAGAGTGAGAATGAGTGAGCCAAACTTTGTTTTCTTTAACGTTTCTAAGGAGAAGTTATGTGGGAACTCAGCAGGGCCTCTTTGAGAGCATCACCTGGCCATGACGCTGCTGCCTGAGGACGGAGGGGGAGGTATGAGGAGGAAAGAGGCTGCAAGGGAAGCTAGAAGACTACCAGTCAAGCTGCAAGTGAGTTCAAGAACACTTACAAGGATCTGCGTGCGCATCAGGTTGGCAGGGATGGCAGCAAAACCCACCCTAGACGGGATGAGGAATGCTCTGAATGCAGAGATGGGGAGTGCAGGAAATGGCAGGCTAAGAGTGACTCCAAAGCAAGGCCGTCATGTGTGAAATCCAGGCCCCAGGGGCAGAAAAATACTCACTTGATTGAGAGTCCAGAGGCTGATGGAGATGCTGACTTCAGCCTTAAACAATGACCATGAAGAAAGGAAAGGGGGACCTGGCTGATGGACCCTGCTGGACTTCTGTTGGGAAAGGATGCAATCTGTCACATTGCAGACATGAACATCTTGTCTTCTGCCTACTATAAACACGTGTGTCACACATGTTCAATAGTTTGCATCAAATGATAGCATAGATAAAACTATTTCTATGTTCAAAGTTTTGTTGTACATGTGGGGTGTGTGTGTGTGAGTGTGTGTGTGTGTGTGTGTGTGTGTGTGTGTGTGTTCACGTGTACATTTTTGTATGCAGATCCACATGCATGTAGGGGTACATGCTTTAAAGGCCCAAGATTGATATCAAGTGTTTTTCTTAATGCTTTTCCACCTTATGTATTGAGGCAGGGACTCTCACTATATCTGGGGCTTGCAGTTACAACTAGTCTGACTAGCCAGCTTCCTCTGGAGACTGTCTCGCTCTGCCTCCTGTGTGCTAAGATTATAGGTGAGTAGCAACACCTGCCTGATTTTTATAAGGGTTCTGGGGATCTGAACCCTGGTCTTCACACTTGCATACATGTACTTTACCTACTGAGTCCAAATTCAAAGTTTCCTATGTTAGGTTTGAATAAGCCTACCTTTTTTGAGACTGTTGAGTTTTTTGCATAAACAGTAACAGTAAGAAAATATTGGGGGTGCTCATGCTTTTTGTAATTTCTTACACATGAATTCTCTCTGTGATGTAAAACAAATGTATTTCACTCCTGTGCTAGTCAACCCAGGAGCTGAGAGATTAAGGTAAAGGACAGCTCATTGGTCCCCAGATCCCTGTGGCTGTGTAAGCGTTCTTCCTAACAGTGGGGCTGATTTTGAATACGTATGTCTGTGCAATAAAAATTTTCAGAAGATAAAAGGAAGAAAACAACTACAGAGCCATTAAAACATGTCTAGCACACAAGCTCAGTGCTGCAATGGAATTTGACAGCTGAACTTTATAGAAAAGAATGAGCTAACTTTACCTGGTGAAGTTATTGCCTGCAAAGGTTGATTCAGCTAAAAATCCTTTATCAAAATGGCAGTTGGTAAGGTTGTAATATCGAAAATAAATTAAAGAATAATCTCTGTTCTTTAAAGGAAATGACTGAACAAGAGTCTAAGCCCTACATGTGGTTGTATTTCATGAGGAAGCTCTAGGTCTTCCCCACATTTTATATTACAGCCTCAGGAGGCCCCTTCTTGGTGAAGTGATAACACCCAGGTTGGTGGGGTAAGAGGTTCTGTCCATCTGAGTGCAGCCCAGGCATCAGACTAGGGGTTGATAAACATCCACAGCTGTCTGGACACTACCTGAAGTTTTCTTCATTCAGTTATAAGCATAAAAAGCACACAGGGCATTATTTTCATACCTGAAAATATCAGAGAAACCCTATCCATTGTCCAGTTCTGGGCATTTCTTCATGAGGCAAAGACACTACAGCCACAGTAATTAGAAGGATACATTCTTGGCCCAGATGGGTAGGAACTTGTGGAGTTTACATCTTTAATGTAGACCAGTGGTTCTCAACCTTCCAATGCTTCGATCTTTTAATGAAGTTCCTTGCATTGTGGTGACCCCTAGCCATAAAATTATTTTCACTGCTACTTTATAACTGTAGTTTTGTTACTGTTATGAATCCTAATATAAATATCTGATATGCAGGGTATCTGATATGTGAGCCCTGTGAAAGGGTTGTTCAACCACCAAAAGGGTCTTGACCCACAGGTTGAGAATTAATGATGTAGACTCTTCCAATGTGCACATACATATTGCTGAGTATACAACACACATTGACCACAAGAAAAGGAAAGATCAAGTCAGTACTAACTGAGAAATTTCCTCTCGGCTGACTAGCTCTCTCAGAACCCGAAGGTACTATGCAGGCTTCTGAGTTAAACTCATCAACAGTCTTGCAAGGCTGTGAACACTGTGAACTGCAATAATGACCAACATGGCCAGATATATGCATGAATGCAACAGCGGCATGAATGTTGCAGGGTTAACCAACTGCTTTCTCTTTTATTCAACTTAAGGCCCATTCTCTGGAGGGAAACGTGTCTGGGACTGCAAATCTAGCCAAGAGCCCACAGCTGAGGAACTCCCAGACACCAGAGATAAGTTTACTACTATAATTTTGCTAAATGGACATAGTATCAAATGGTCTTCTAAATTAGTATCTCTTTATTCATACATTAGTACAGCTCTCAGACGTCCATGGAGAAGGTTCTTTGTGCAGTGACTTTAAACCAGTTAAAGTGCAGAGAATAAGTGGCTGTGGGGTGCTCAGTCACAAATGAGATGTCTGTATGGCACCCCCCTCTAAGGCTCAGAGACATGGTGGAAGTATGTAGATAACACAAATTGTAGTAGACTTGTTATTTTAAGAAATAGAAAACAAGCAATTGGGCAGAGAAGGGAGATGGGAATGAACCTAAGAAGAGTTGGGGGGGGCAGATCTGGGATGAATATAATCCAAATACATTATTTGGTGTTTCTAAAGAATCAACAAAGTATTTGTTTATAAAAATGGCCCTTTGAGAAAGTTGATAACCTGGGACACTTATTCTTGGTGTATCACACCCCTTATGATTGATTTTAAACTATTGAAGTGTCTTAAAACATAAATGTCATTTCTTCTAGAGTTTTTCTTCATTTTATTTTAAAATGTAGACTCTACCCATTGTAAAGATAGAACCTGTGGTCATTGCATTCTCCACTACAATGGTTTGTTTGACCATTTATAAAAGAGATATGAGGGCTGGGGGTGGGGTGGTGGTTCAGCTATTAGGAGCACTATCTGCTCTCCCAGCAGGTTTGAATCCCAGCACTCCCCATGGTGATTGACAAGTATCAATAACTCCAGTTCCATGACATCAGATGCCCTCTTCTGGCCTCCTTGGGCACAAGGCATGAGGGTGATAAATAGATAGACATGCAGGCAAAACACCATACACATAAAATAAAAACAAGTAAATCCATGAAAATTGAGTTTATTGACATTTGATCTGCTCATATTTTTTAATTAATATTCATGTGTGTGTC